AAGATTTCAATCAATTGAAGATCTAATCTTGGTTTTTGGGTAAAGAAGTGAATGCGCAATTGAAAATAATCAAGAAACCATGAAGAAATTCTAGATTTCAAGATCCATCATTTTCTCTTTCATTAACCAAAACTCTGGATGATATTCCAAAATTAAAAGATGATTCTTGTAATTTTACAATGTTAGGCTAGATTATCATTTACTAAGACATAGATGAACCCTTATCATGAAATTTTAATATAAATTGATGCCCAATATGTACGATTTTTTGGATGATTGTTATTGTGTTTAATATTTTTCAATTAATTGATCACTAAATGGATTGATTTATGAATTTTATTGTTATCAAGAGAGATAATAGAATAGATAACGCTTATAGAATTGTTGTGAGTTCAGATAGAAGATAGTAATATATCCCTATATCTTGCATAATTTTAATAAATGTTCTAGTATTTTAATGTATGTTTTCATATTCACATCTTTCACAAAAATATAGGAAGGGCATATGCGATGATAGATTTAATTCTATTCGAGAGAGATTATTAAATCATTTAAGAACACTGATCAATAAGAATGCATACATATTGTTATGGTATTGAATTGTATTAAAATGGATTAATAAAGGGGATCCAAACGCTTAGTAATCATTCAACCTAATCTTACAAAAATACTCATAAATTGCTCACTAGAATAGTAAGTTTAGCATTTTAGCCCCTAAACTTTCCCGAGCTCTTCTTTTTCTTCCTTCTTCAATTTTCTCCAATCCATTTGCTTCTCTTCTTGTCCAATTAGGTCCTTGCATTCTCGACTTTTCGTTTCTCGCTTCCAGCTAACTTTCGATTATTTGCATTTTAATCACCAGCTTCTCTGTTTGCTTTAGTTAACTCCCTTTCTTGCTCATTTTCTCCAATTTCATTGTATTCATCGTTGTAGACCTAAAACATGCAATAAACAACAAATTCAGCCATAATTCAATCCATATATCAACAAGTATCCATGTTTTGACGATCTAAATAAGTATATGAAATACACTTATCAACGACAACATTACGGCTACAAATATTGTGTTGCTATTCTGTATTTTCCACTTCAAAGATATAGTGTTGCGATTTTGTTAACGCGATAAATGGACGAAAGTCGTCGTAGAACACATTCCATGACTTATATAGCGCAACAATACATACAACAAACATATTATCTTCACTAAATTACTTTTACAACAAAATCTCAATTATTTCGACAACATTTTTTTTTCACGAAATCATTTATTTTTTGTAGTGTTTATAAACCGTAATTTTGATAAGAATAACATAACCAGTCTTAAGAGCAGTCCAAGCATTGTATTCCTTACATAAACAGAAACACCCAAATAAGCAGTACATCTCAATCAAAAAACTAAACATGTAAAAAAAATTAAAATTAAAATTTCAACTAGTGTTCTTTTTAAGAAAGAAATTCACACACCTCATCAAATAATTTCGTAAAAATGTTGGCTTCCATACCAACGGATGGTGGCCAGAGAATATCGAAATGAGCCCAGAAGCAAATCAGGTGATAAGATTGCTTGGTGTTCACGTTCTTACGGAGGAAGCATAGGTACTTCATCTTGTGGAGGAGCCTGGCATCTACTACTACTCTCAACACACAAATACTCGACCTACTGTCACCACCGGCCAAGCCTCCTTCCTGAGATAGATAAACCTCATAATTCTTACTTCCATTCAGAGGAGGACCTGGGTGGTCCTGGGGGGCACGTTCCCCCCTCCCCACCCCCACCCCCACCCCCACTCAACTTTTGAGTTTTTTAAAAATATATATATATAAAACATGTTTAGTATCGATTGAAATATAAATTTTAATCTAAATCAAAGTTAACAATTAATTTTAATAACACATGTCATGGAAATCCATAA